TACACTAGATACAAGATGATGTCCGTAAACTATATTCAGATTTCACTCGCATAGTAAGTATCGTACATTAAATTAAAAGTCGACTTTCATTTTCTATAAACAGTCATGAAATAGCTAAAACGTGAGTACGGTGGCGGTTCCGGTTGGCGGATCTAAGTTACTGGCAATTTTTAATGAAATTGACAACAAGCAATTTATTTATTTCATAAAACGTCATCACTGTATTATTCAATAAAACTTTATTTAAATGATATAAAAGAAATAAGTTGTGATAACCGATTAAAAAGAGAAATGTGCAAATTATTTTCGTCATTCGCCGATCTTAATATTGATGGAAACTTCTGGAACATCATATAGCATCGAGCCCGATGTTAAAAAAGAAAACGAGGCGATTATAGGTGCATGAATATAAATAAAAGCTTTTGTGTGAATGGTCATTGAAATAATGGTAAATCATGTATAACGCTATAAGTTGTGAATATATTTATATATCGAAAGACTATTAGACTATTAGTAGGTTTTCCTAATAAATTCATGGGTAAAATTTGTATATTCCTCACCGAGAGCTTAACTGGCAAAGAACCCGAAGTACAATTTCTACTTCGTAATAAATTTGCTTACATGAAAAGGGAAAATGAATGAATAAGGTATTGTTCAAACACAATTAATAGAATTTTGTGCTTTAATCAATGCACTTCAGTTGTTTGGTTTTTTTTTTTCAGAATACAGACTTTTGTATCAAATACCTGGCCTATTCGTAGGGCGTTAAAAGCTAATGTTTACAAAAACAAAAAAAAAATCTATTTTATTATTTAAATTTGCATATTCGCTGCTTTTATCCTTCACGGAAATGAAATAAGAGCACCTGAAGTACAATATCCATAACATAGTATGACAGGTTTCACAATAAACGTCAATTAATGAAATTGTTATTTTTCAAGTTTTTACAAAAAGGGGGTGGGGGATGGGGGGGACGTACATTTACTTCTGCTCCACAACTAAATGCGGGATTTTGATCAAAGAATTTCTTTCTGCTATAAGCCTGTAGGCTGTCAGTAGAAACCCTACAATATATATTATTGGAATTTTTCTGTCAATAGTGGTATAACTTCAATTCCCCGCGCTTAATTGCGCGGGATTTCATCTTGTAACTGGAATGCAAATGCTACGCTTAAAACAATGCAATTCATTTCAACGCAATCGATTTGCATGTTCGAAAACTTTATCATAAACCACTGTGTATCAACTTCCATTCAGCAAGACACAAAACTTGATAGAGAGCAATTTCTAAGTATTGTTGAAATATTTCCACCAAATTTGGTCATAATAATACAACGTTGAATAAAAAGTTGTGACAAAAGTTTTTTGAATTACCCTCGTACATGTATATGACTTTGGAAATGATGACATCATTTATATTCTTTAAGCCTACCTAGCGCCACCTGTGTTTGAAATTAAATGAATGGTTTACATTTAGGTTTTTTTTTTTACTATGACGTTCATATATATAAGTCTTCTCTTACTGGTCTGCCCATCTTTTTATTAATGCAATACATGTACTCTCCGTTGCACTTTTATCAACTGCCATCTGAGTAAAAAAGACCAGCTGTCGTCTTAAGGCAGATAATTGTCACGATCCCGGGTTTTAACTGATGATTTAGGTTCATGACGATGCTGGTGGCAAATTAATGCGTAATTGGTGCGAACTCTGTAAACGTGTTTTCATTCATGAAATGTGTTGTCTAAATGGACTTTGAGCTTTAATACTGTTCTTATCCCTATATTTCATGTTGATATATTCTATCAAAAATATTTACCAATAATAAATATTTAAAATTAAAAATACATAAATTAAAATTGAAAATACACATACACAATACTGATGTTCATTGATGTTACGATGCAATGCATTACAAGGCGAATAAATTATACAGTGATGTTTGTTATACAAAATATATCAAAATTATATAAACAAAACCAGCTCTGTGATTCAGAGCTCTTACATAATTATCTGCGCAGTCATGCTGTGAACATAAAAATATTTTAAAATAATAAGTACTAATAATTACCTACTGTAACTTGTACAGTCTCATCTTCGTCCTTTAAAGGCAATTGTAAATAAATTCTTTTATTGTTTTATTTTTCATTTTAAGTCAGAAATTTATTCACTCTAGATAAGTCGCCCGCGTGGCGCAGTGGTTAGAGCGTCTGCTCTAGAGTCGCGAAGTAAGGAGTTGATCCTTACGTCGCGGGTTCGAATCCCACTGTGGGAAGTGGAAACCGGTCCTTCGGCTGAGACCGTATAAACCGAGGCCCCGTGTCGCAGTAGTTGCTGGCACGAAAAAGATCCCTCACTGCTCAATGGCCGTAAGTGCCGAGTATAATTTGCAGCTCTCCACCGGCAAGTGGTGGCGTCTCCATATGAGTGAAAAATTCTCGAGAGAGACGTTAAACAACAAACAAACAAACAAATCTCTCTAGATAATGTTTTGCATGTTACTTTATGTGTCACCTAGAACGTTCATCTTAACAGTTTAACAAAATGATTCTGTCTAGGTATTGTAGAATCTTACATTATGTGACACCTAGATCGTCCGTCTTAAATGTTCAAGTAAGACGTGATTCTCTTTAGATATTGTTTTTTATGTTACTTTATATGGCTTATAGGACATTCATCATTAAGTTAATAGTTTTAGTAACGAATTGATTGTCTTAAGACATTTTTTGTATCGTATTTATACTTAGACATTAATTCTAATATTAAGTAATGGATTGATTCTCTCTAGATATTTATTTTTATGTTACATGTACTTCATATGGGTTATAGGACATTCATCATTAAGTTAATAGTTTTAGTAACGAATTGATTGTCTTTAGACATTTTTTGTATGGTACTTTTAATTAGACTTAATTTTAATATTAAATAATGGATTGATTCCCTTTAGATATATTGTTTTGGATGTTTCTTCATATGACACCTAGAACGTTCATAACTTCATATTAACAGTTTAAAATCGAATTTATTCTAACTAGATATTGTTTTGTATCTTACTTTATATGTCATGTAGGTCATTCATGTTAGACATTTTAGTAATTGATTGATTCTCTCTAGATACGATATTTTGTGTGTTACTTATTTGGCACCTAGGATGTTCATCTTAACAGTTTAAGTGACGACTAGATTCCATGTATATTTTGTTTTGATTGATTGATGGATTGACTGATTGTATATTGTTTTACGTCCCATTCGAGAATTTTTCACTCATATAGAGACGTCACCATATACCGGTGAAGGGCTTCAAATTTTGACCTTTACCAGGTGCTCAGGGCCATTGAGCAGTGAGGGATCTTTATCGTGCCAACGCCTGCCGTGACACGGGGCCTCGGTTTTTAAGGTCTCATCCGAAGGACCCGCAACTTTCACTTCAAAGTGCCGAGCGAATGGCGAAGGAACAGTTGCTACCCATTTTTGATCGACTTAGGTCAGTCGCGGCCGAGATTCGAACTCACTACCCCCCGATCACGAAGAGAGCGCTCTACCGCCTGAGCTGACGATAGAAATGTTGAAGTCATCATGTTTATCATAAAGTTTTGTTGTTTTGTTACTTTGAACGTCTATTTCTGGTAAAATATCCAAATATGAAACAGATGTGTCAGACTCTGTGGTGTCTTTTATTTCACGTTCACTCTGATATATCGAATCGACATATGAATGAAAGTAACTATTATTAATTGATAATACGTCGTCGAGATATCTAAACATCGAGTAGAAGGCCACAATAAGCCTTTTCTTCTGCTCATGTAGAAGTTTTTGAATAAATTCCGCAATTGGTACCCATGAGAATTCTAAAAGATTGTTGGAAGACCTGATCTCCAAAAGCTACATAAATATTGTCAATCAGAAACTCAAGCAACTTTTAAATATAAACTTCAGAGTACTTGTGTATGTAAGATCAGAATGTTTTTTTTAACAAATAATTTTGCAAATGACCAATGACGGTAAGTATATTTACGAGTTCCATTTTTGTTGAAAAAGCAGCTGTCAATGATGTTAAAAAGCCAGGACTTTAATTTATCGTGGGGAATGTTATATAAAGTGTTGAAAAGTAGCACGTTTTGATGTTATTGATTTTGGAAAATTCTGTGATTTCAAATTTTCTAAAAGTTCCTTGGAATTTTTTAGTATCCACATCTGATTTACACCACTTCTGGAACATACTGTTGTATAGTACTCCTGAAGTTTCTCCTTCGCCGTTTTTTCTCGATCATGACAAGGAGCACACGGCGGGTGTGACCGGTCGGCAGGGGAAGCTCACTCCTCCACGGCACCTAATTCCACCTCTGATGTTTTAGAGGCCCGTGTTTGCTCTGCTCCTAATTTGTTTCGTTTGAATGGACTTATGACTTGATTAGTATTCGTTACTATATATTTCATTGAAGCAAGTTACTGGTTTTCTGAAAATCTTTTTGTGTTGTATATGGTTTATCCACCGGTAGATCATTATCATTTTCACCGATAGTGTTAATATATAATATTAGATATATCATGATAAAACAAAACTGAAACAAACCAGAGAATTGTATGTTACAGTAAGAGATACGCATTTTAAAACACCGAGTTACATCTTCATAATCTCGATGCTCTAGTTCTCTTGAATCAACTACTTCTCTGTCTCATTTTATAAGAAATAGAGATATAGAATGCTTGTAACTATGGCAAAAATGATATATCATTACTATAGGGTAACTATGGCAATCACAAATAATTACAGCAAATATATTGGGCAAAAAGCTTTTAATAAGCTTTGGATCAGTATGGCTATTTTAATCTTTGTTATATTGTAAAATTAAAAAATCAAAAAAAAAACGGTTAGTGCATATATATTTATTGATTTTTCGTTTTATTTTTTGATTTACGGTAATATATTGAAGATTAAAACAGGATAACAACATATCATGGATGTTTTATTGAATGAATGATCCAATCCATAACACATGCGTTTACATTTAATTAAGACTGATGAGGGTGTAGTCTTTAGGACACATGCTTGCCAGGCGTTTACTTCTCACCTCCAAGTCGTCCCGGAGGTAGGGCTCAGTAGCATTGATAGCCAAGGTCAACATCTTCACCTGTATTGGATAACATTGGAGAGAAGAATTTACTGTTTTCTTTAAGACATTTGAAAACTTAAAGCATATTGAGATTCTAGCCAAATAAAACACCAATTTCTGAGGATTTTATTAATCCCTGATTGCGCTGCATGTTGACGGAGTGTACATAAACGTGAGACTAGCCAAGTTAAAGCGACAATAAGATTTTATTTTATCGTAATTGCCATGAAATCCAAAGACACCAGAGATACATGATCTGTTAGGAAGAGCTATATATTGTTCTAAATCTGCGTCATCGTAGATGCAGTATAAAGTATTCATTTCAGTCCACCTTTCTTCATCACTACATCTTTTAATACACTTTACCGGTTACCGTGACCTCAGAAATATCCATTTAGATTCACGTCACCGTGTCCTTTATTATTTACACGTTTGATGAGCTAAAAGCGTCTTTTTAATTTTCTAAGGTGCATTTTTCTGGCAGAAAAATAGAAGCGCCAAATCCCTTTTTAGAAGCCTACCCTTATACTGTTTTCTATTGTCAATTCTGATTTAAGATCGTCCTGATTTAAGAATGGTATAAAAATTTGAGGTTCTATTCTAGTCCTTTAAGAATTTCCCTAGTTGAATAAAAAGCCAGTGGCACTGGAATATAAGAATACTTTTTCATGAGAAATTTTGTTCAGAACACATCAATCTTTATAAAACTCCGTCAAAAATGATTGTCATTAAATTTCAATGCACAAAAACATGTACCTCAAGAGACAGTAGCCCGCTTGCAGTATGCACAAGATGTCGGTCATCTGGGTGAACCGCAAAAATGTAACATGTGAGGGTTTCATCTTTGTAAGCCATGAGATGCTGAAAAAAAATCTTAAATGTCGTTTTATATTATCTAGTATGAAACTCAATTTCTATATGCAGAAACACGAAAAGATACATACTAGTACATGTAATATTTTTAGAGAACATAGAGATAGCAATCGTATGGTTTATGTTCATTGTCATGTCTCATGGAGTTTAGGAGCTAGTTTTAACTAATAGAAAAAGACATGATTACCAGGTTCTTCTGCAGGAAGTATTTGTGTTATATTTTTCTTGAAACATTAGGCAATTTGATGAACTCTATTTTGAATTACACTGTATTCTTTTTTTTTAATCAGATACATACATGTATCTATATTCAGGCTAACATTTTTTGAATTGTAAAAATCTTCAGTTAATTTTTTTTTATATCTGTATTCAAGCACTTGTATTATACATACCAGAATTAATTCGTCAATAAAATCTTCAAAAATAAATATGATGAAATTAATGCTGAAGAGTTAAGTAATAATTGTACATACACAATAATGGTCATATTTGAAGTACGCTTGACCATATACGATTGGTTCTCTTGTCACATGTGGGTGGTGCGTGTGGTGGTTGTGGTGGTGATTCCCATGATGTGTAGTGGTGACAGCTTCGGTTGTGGTTCCGGCATCATCATATGTTTTCACTGCAGCCCCCCAAATTCCTGCATACTTGTTAAATTGTAAAATAAAAACTGGGAAAACGAAGATTATCCAGACAATATCGGTTATAAATCTTCATACAGATTTATTTATTGTTGACTTTGGCGTGCTTTCAGCTGTAGTCATGTTTTGTGTAAAGAAGCATCTGTGAAGTCAAATTGCATTGTACTTTCACTCACCAAGCACGATGCACCCCTGTGCAAACTTTTAGTACTGGTCCATTCTTACTGAATAAGAATATTATACCTACATGTACCACAATAGGATCTTGTTGTGTTGATATTTTTTCATTATGAGCTGATAACATTCATGTTGTGATGATGTTTCTTCGTTATGAACTGATAACATTCATATTGTGATGATTTATCTTTATTATGTGCTGATAACATTCATGTTGTGATGATGTTTCTTCGTTATGAACTGATAACATTCATGTTGTGATGATTTATCTTCATTATGTGCTGATAACATTCATGTTGTAATGATTTATCTTCATTATGTGCTGATAACCTTCATGTTGTGGTCATTTATCTTCAGTAAGTGCTTATAACATTCATGTTGTGATGATGTTTCTTCATTATGAACTGATAACATTCATGGTGTGATGATGTTTCTTCATTATGAACTGATAACATTCATGTTGTGATGATGTTTCTTCATTATGTACTGATAACATTCATGTTGTGATGATGTTTCTTCATTATGAACTGATAACATTCATGTTATGATGCTGTTATGATGCTGTTTCTTCATTATGAACTGATAACATTCATGTTGTGATGATGTTTCTTCATTATGAACTGATAACATTAATGTTATGATGCTGTATCTTCATTATGTACTGATAACATTCATGTTGTGATGATGTTTCTTCATTATGAACTGATAACATTCACGTTGTGATGCTGTATCTTCATTATGAACTGATAACATTCATGTTGTGATGATGTTTCTTCATTATGAACTGATAACATTCATGTTGTGATGATATTTCTTCATTATGAACTGATAACATTCATGGTGTGATGCTGTATCTTCATTATGTACTGATAACATTCATATGTTGTGATGATGTTTCTTCATTATGTACTGATAACATTCATGTTGTGATGATGTTTCTTCATTATGAACTGATAACATTCATTTTGTGATGATGATTCTTAATTATGTGCTGACACTTCTTTACATAATAGTACTTTTACAGTGAGTGCCTACTGTTACTTTACTTTTAAAATATGCTGAATGTTTGTTCAAGAATTTAAAGATTCTTTTTTTAATGAAGCGAAAATGATCAAGTGTGCCTCTAGATATTTTCTCCATACTTAAGATTTTATTTTAATATCTAATCTCATTTTCAAGATCGTCTTCTGTAATTTCCGAAAAAATAATTTTAAATTTAATTTAAAGAGTAACGTCATTCTGAAAAAAAAAAAAAAAAAAAAAAAAAAAAACAAAAAAAAACTAACTTCTGATACCCGTTGGAGCTTAACATTGTCCGCGATTCAAAATTCATTTTCAAATTATCGACTTTGGAATATCAAACTTAGACATAAACATTACCCAGTATTCGGTTTTGTTGAGTTCCTGATTGCTCTGCATGTACACTATGCTCAACGCACTTGTTCTAAGTTTCATCATTTCGGCTGTATTTGGAATACAAAACGGATTCAAATTTTTGGACAGACAGCTAACAAACGATTTCTGGCCTATATTTTTCCCATTCAAAATTTAATGAGCATTTGACAACTCCAGTTTCTGCAATACATTCACCCCTATCATCTTTTCCAGATGTTTTGATTTCGAACATTTCACAATAAATATATTGAAAGGAAAAAGAAATGTATTCACATTTTTGAAGAAATTAGATAAGAGCTATATTTTTCGAACGTATTTTCCAGCATTGTTATCAAACATATAAACTCATCTATAATCAACAAGTTACCAAAATCTTTTGTGAGTTTGACTTATAATTCATGAGTTATTGAAATTCTTATCACGGCACCACCCCCCCCCCCCAAGTGAAAATAAAAATTCTCATTATCTCCATCGCGCATCTGTCACAGCCTTGATTCTTCTCTGCATGGAGTTCATCAGTGCATTTATCTTTCTCATATACAACCCTTGCGGGTAGCCCTTAGTTGATCGATAGTAGTTGGAGCATTCCAAAGCCCTCAAACCCCACCGTCCAGTTAGTCCCACAGATTTTCGATTGGAGAAAAAAGGATAAAATTTACGGAAGCCAGCTGATTTGGTAAATGTGAATGTTTGCAAGAAAGTTATTTCGAACTCTGGCTACATTTTCCCGGGATGAACGTGTTAAAAAAAAATTAGGAATACGAATACTTACGTGCGCGAGTGAGAGTAATACCGACGTAAAGTTGAAGAGCTTCCGGACCAAAATAGAGTAATCGGTTTCTTTCAGTTTTAGGATGAATGTAACCTATTACCTACTGTATTAATATCGGTTTCAGTGGTAATGCCATGGCGATTACACAGATGGTAGGATGAAAAGCCCTATCTTGATGTGACGTTATTACGCGCCAACTTCACCGTCACGGTTTGTTGGAAACTTTTCCAGTTACTTTCTGACAATTAACTGATAAAATGTTCTATGGTGGAAAAATTGATAACAACTGTACAGGAACATGTTGTTGCCTTTTTCTTTTAATTTTTCTTAGCCAATTCGGTTACCAGACCCAATACAACTTATTGGCCTTACCATGATTGCAAGAAATTCATACCGACTGCAAATGTGCAAAAACGATCTTTATATCGCCAATGCATCAGGTGGTACTATGAAATATGTTAACAAACCTTTCACCATCATTTTGCACGTATTTTGCCTTTTTACCGCTTTCCCTACGTGACGTCATACATTTCACGATTGAGTAATTTTCAACACTGATGTTAGTGTACAGTGACCAAAATGCACCTGTAACCAGTTTTCATAATTTTCGGCCACACAGTCAAAAATATTTCGCATATTATGAAACATTTTCTTTTTCCTTCTTGTAGATAATTCTAAATTCCATAAATAATCATCACATAATATAGTATCAAAAGGAAGGGGTATCGACATATAATGTTATAAAGTATCACCACGTTGTCAAAGTAACATCATATAATGAGGTGTCAGCATGCTGTATTTGTACTTAAAAAGCGGGCTTCATACTTTAGCGGCTTTGGCGCAGACAACGATGCGCTAATTCATGAATGCCGCTAAGAAATAATTTATAAATACAATATATGGCACGGACATGTATAGCGCTAATTCATGATTTTGCCAACAACTCCATACCCAGTGATTGCACTAAATTTTGAATACGCAAATTTATATACACCTACAGTATGTCAACTTGAATGTATAAGCATATAAAGACAGGAGTCAGTATCACAGCATGAACGTTATCCACATAAGGCAGTTGAGGCGTTCCATGGAATATGTTTGTGTGAAAATAGTTATGTGAATGATAAAATGATTATGCACTGTATTCTGAATTACTAACAAACCCTTATAAACTAACTAAAGGTTTGTTTAAAACAAAGCATTCTCACATGTCCTTAGTTCATTTAGGTCAATACCTCAGAATATAAAAAGAAGTTTCCGAAATAATAGTCAAGAAGAATCACAAGGTTCATTTACAGCGATTGTAATAGGTGATTAACTTACCAGAAAACTACAGGTAAATAGAAGAAAAACCAAATCAGACATTTCTTGTGTCCAAATTGCTATCAGACTATTTATACAAAGATAAGAGAAGCACCAGATATTCATGTAAACCTATATTACATGTACGTGCTAGTTATCGAGATTCAATATTATGAATATTTGCAAGATAGGAAACAAAATATTTCATTCTAATGAATTATTCCCCATTAAATTGGATGTTGAGGCGTCGATAGTGTATTGGAAAAATTCTGCTTAGGAAAATAATTCTGTAATTCATAAATTACGATATAATTTATTTTAAAATAAAGTCATGTTCAGTTCGTGCATTACCGATAACTGTAATTTCAATGACTTATCCTAATCATGCCGATACATTATATACTTTTCAAACTTTTGAAATAATTATATTTGAGCCAATTTGAGTAGCATAATTGTAAAGAAGCAAGTGCTCTATCACTGTGCTACCCAAGCATCCCCTCTCCAAATTTATAAATTTATAAAATCTTTTCATTTTCGATAGATGCATGTATATCTATCATTTTAGAACATATTCAAAATTCACAATTTGCAAATTAGGGTATTTTTATGTACCATTTTGTATATTCAGAAATTACTTAATTTCGGTCAAAGTAAATTGATATCTTCTTTGCATTGTATGCAAACAAGAATATCAGCAGTCTCGTTTAAAGTCATCATTTCGTAAGTTCTATGGTCGATACAATGACCTTGTCAGCAAATACAATTTATCAATGAGTCAAATGCTGACTGGCTTTTTTCATACTAATTGTTAGGCCATTATTTACACACTGAATTGTCGACGGATTTTCTCGTTATTTCCCGATCATGACAAGGAGCACACGGCGGATGTAACCGGTCGGCAGGGGATGCTCACTTCTCCATGGCACCTGATCCCACCTCTGATGTTTTGGAGATCCGTGTTTACTCTGCTCCTACTTTGTAATGTTTTATGTACTTCTGAGCTTGAATACTAGCTGTTCGTTATCTCCATATATTTCATAGCAAAGAGAAACATGATATTCGAGACGCACATCCCCAACACACATGGAATTTTACATTTTTTTTTAAAGTAAATGTTCTGACATTTGTTCCAGATATGGTAATATCCTTAAATGAAGTAGGTATAAGATTATGGGTATAGGATAGTGGTTTGCTAAATGCCTCTAGAAGCGATTGAAACCGAAGTGAAAATTTCATGCAGAAACACGGAATGACAATGTCTCCAGGTAATTTTTTCTCAGCTTGTGTCAGTTGAGTTTAATTAGAGTATAGGCGTCTGGACAGAAATTCGCCAGAAGTGAACTGCGCACAACCAGATCATCACGTGGGTAGGGCTCTGTAGCATTTATCGCCATGGTAGCAATTTGGGCCTGTGAATAGGAGATAAATTGTATCATTTTAAAATGAAAGTATTGAGGTCTATTTTGGAATTATCAAAAAATATAATCAATTATAACGTAAAATCGAATTCAATTCGTTATAATAATTTTTTTTTGAATTTGTTTCATCGAATTCAGAAATGTTTTGACAAATTAAACTCATTTTAACAAATTTCATATTCTTTACAAGAATTCGAAAATTAGTTACAAATATTAGAATTTGTTTATAAAAAATTTGACAATGCATTATATTGAATTCAAAAATATTTTTGAAGTTCTGAATAGGCTTCCGAGGATAATGTAATTTTTTCAAATTCTAACAAAACTTAATTATAGTTAAGGGTATATAACTGAAGTAATCTATAATAAATTAAAGAATACACATGTATAACAAGGATACTTTAAAACTTTAGATGGAACTTTACGCTATTAAACTTTCCGCTTGAACTTTACTTTTTTAGAGCTTTAGAGCATAATACCTCTGATATTCCATATCCATAATGGCATTTTTTGCAATAATGTTTGAAAATGCTAAACATTCCTTTTAATACAAGTATAAAAAAATTAGATAAAAAGAAATATATCGATAATACGAAAGCCGATTGGCCCATTTGTGACAAGGTAAAAAAGATGATTTGTTATAAAGAGATAACTCTTTTTAACGAGTTAGTTTCTCGTTATAACGAGTTTATTATCTCGTTATAACGAGTTAAATATTTTTAATCTTCTCAAAAATAGACCTATTCGGCTTTCGTACGATAACAATGTCAATTTCAAAGAAAAAAATAATTTGATTGTTAGTTACTATATTGAAATCTTTGATTACTATAGTAAAAACGTTGATACGTTGATTAACTAAACGAGATACTTAAATAGTTTGATTTACTTTAGTAAAGTAAACCAGACTTTGCTATACAGGTAGTTTACTATCGTATCTTTTAGTTAGGGAATTCGTTAAGGAACTTAAACTCGCATTCACATGTTACATTAGTTTCAGCGTATTGTTTGTTTCATGCAAAAAAGGATGCTAAAGAGTGTACCTGCAGCTGTAAGAAGCCAGACTCAGTATGGACCAGTGGTCTTTCATCAGGCAGAACAGCATAAATGAAACAAGTCTGTGTCTGCTTAAGGGCAAGTAGGTGCTATAGGCACAAATTAAAAACAAGGACATGTGAACAATTATAAAATCGATCGGGGCCATTTTTCACCATTTTCTGGTTAGGAAATTTTTTTCAGAGCAATTTAGTTTCTATATATTGTTGGTCTTTGTGCAAGCCAAATAATCTTGTATCTACAACATAATTATTCTGCTTTGAATAAGATATATGTACCTTATCAACGACTAAAACAACTCATCAAAATTCTTACAAGAAATGAAATTAGTATATTAGTTGTATAATTATTATATTATAGTTTAAGACTTATTATTCATTCTTTTTTGAAGACATACTTGTAAAATATAGGAAGTACGTGATAAGTACTTTTTGATAAACGTTTGAATATACTAATGATTTTCAACGGGAGCATTATACAGTGAAGACGTTCAGAATGAATTAGAATCCTTGCAAATGAATGACATTGTACTTACATAGTAATGATCATATGAGAAATACATATTGCCATACTCTACAGGTTCTTTGGTATAATGTACATGGTGGTGTCCTTTATGAGTAGTCGTCACTGGTTTATGGGTAGTCGTCACTGGTCTATGGGTAGTTGTCACTGCCCCATTGCTAATAACTGGATACTTCAATTTATAGATTTGAAGATCAGTTTGTTATGTTTGTTTTAATGTTAAGTTGTATAAATAAGAGGAGTGTTATATTGGGGTGGGGGTGGGGGTTGTTTGCTTTGTGTCCATGATTCATTTGTCTGAACCCAGCATCTCTTATGAAATTTAAACCCATTGATATTTTTCATACATAACCTTCTAATGTGCTGAAATTTTCTTTGGTTTTCTCTGTTTTTACAAAAATTATTTGGATCATCACTCTCTCCCATAAATTGTCGGGTTTTCATTATCTACTCAAACGGACTTTCAAAATATCTTGTATTTGAATTCATAGAGTTACATGGTTTGATAATAAATTCACAATTATCAAATTCTTTCTTTAAATTCCCTTTAAAGTGAAGTGTTTTTCCCATTCTTTCCTTGCTATTTCAGTCTGATATATGTAACTTTAATAAAATTATTTTTGTCTGTTAATTGAATAAAATTATTAACTTTTATTTTGCATTCAAACAGTATTTCAAGTACGGAAAAGTCTAAAATTGGGGGAGAATCAAGTATCGCCTTGTTTAGTATTTACTTTTACTCCAAAGAAAAAAAACCATGATTTATCAACTTACATAAAGTAGACAGAAGAATATAACAGGTTCGATGACCATTGTAAATGCCTCCAAGTTTACAAAATGAAATGGTCAGCGTCAGATAAGACATTATCGTTATGTGAAGAGGTCAAAAACTGGTATTCTTCGAAAGGTTTCCAAAGAGAAGTAACTACAAATCACCAATCGATATGTGCCTTGTTTTAATAATCAAGTGCCTACACAAAATTTGCATAAACCTTTGAAGTTTGGTCGATTTCATGTTAGAATAATGTAATTCTTTATAGTAAATATGTGTAAGTGAAGCTATCATTTGCTTCGTTTTTGAAAAAGATGCAATCTTTTGCAACAAGGAATGACAAGAAAATAAATAGAACCAGGCAAAAACAAGGGGATATATCGAAATGAAATGGCAAAGAGAACAGAAGCAGATCAGTCTACAAATCGGAAAGAAGGACAATCATTTAAAAGTGGATTCAAATTATTCAGTTAAGTTAATCGGGAAAAAAAATACAAAAGGAGTTGTATTGGCAACAATATTCTGATGGATCACCTGCATTTGGTCTTTATGTCTCCCAGCTGATTTGATACTCAAGAGCAGGCCCTGAGTTCGATCAATTTTGAAACCAAGGCAGACTTCTAAAAACATCAGAGGTGGGATCAGGCGCCAATGAGGAGTGATCATCTCCTGTCGATGGGTCACATCCGCCGCGTGCTCTTTGCCATGATCGGGATAACGGAAAAAATCCGTAGACAATTCAGTGTGTAAAAAATGGCTTAACAATTAGTATGAAAAACGTCAGTCAGTATTTGACTTATAGACTGTTTTTGCTGACTAGGTCATTGTGACGACCATAGAACTTGCGATATGATGACTTTAAAAGAGACTATTGATATTTTTGTTTCATCAACTTTTTTAATCAATAACTTGCCTCGTTTTTTAGAAATTGTTCCTACGTAGAGCATGCTGTTTTGTATTGAATCAACTGGGAGACATAAACCCCATATGCAGGTGATAAGGTATATTGCTACATAAGCAAGGCAAGTTGACGAAGGAAAAGTTAAAGTCATCAGGTTTATCATACAGTTTTGTTGTTATGTTACTATTGACGCCTTTTTCTAGTGAAATATCCAAATATGAAACAGATGTGTTAGACTCTGTGGTAACTTTTATTTCAAGTTCACTGGGATATATTCAGTTGACATATGAATGGAAGTTCCTATTTTTAATTGATAATACGTTGTCGATATATCTAAATGTCAAGTTGAACGTCACAGCAAGTGTCTTCTTCTCACACTATAATTGTCGTTAAGTTACAGTCGGTGAATTTAATTATAGATTGCTTACTACAGTAGCGAGCAACGTTACAGACAAAGGGCCTAGTTTAAGTTTTTTTTTTTTTTTTAAATCTACCTTTCAATATTATATTATATTATATAAATAACCTTTCAATATTATATTCTAAAAAAGAGTATAATTATATTTTTACACAAATATAGTTATAAAGTAAACTATATTATTCAATACCAAAGAGAGAAAGAAAAGACTTAAGCAAACAATATCAAACGCCTTTCCAACATCAATCCATGTAATAGACATTTTATCAGATCCCATATCCAGGTTTTCGGATTCTATTTGAACTACTTCGTCAGGTCTTATTGACTGTTTTGGAGTGCAGCATAAATAACAACGTGTGAGCCCCCGAAGAATCCAAGGAACCTGTATGTCATCGCTCCTGTGATAGAATCTCATTCCAATAACAACTGCTAAAATCATTCCACATCCGATGATCATATCCACGAATAATTTATATGTAAGAAGTGATATGTTTGGTTCTGAAGCTTCCGGAAGTTTGTCCTGAATGATGGTAAGAAAAACGGCCACCGCAAGGAGAACCGTAATGCTGAACCCCAGGCGCTCTCCGGATTCAACTGGAAGTAGGAACACAAAGAGTTGAATGAAATTCATGAGAACAATTGGCAGAAGAAGGCCAGCGATGTAGTACGTTGTCCTCCTCGTCATGAATATTGTGAGAGTGATAACTTCAACATTTTTATAAATTGTTTCTATAGTAAAGGAAGTTTCTATGACTTTCCATAGTCCGTTTTCTTTATAGAGTTCCATATTAAAAGTTGAAGATTCTGCTAAGATTTTGATATCGGTGGTAGAGTAGCCGGGGATGTAATACAATAAGGAACAATTTTGTTTATCAAATGGGTAGTACGTCACATCCGCATCACATGTGGATTCATACAAATCTGGCGGACGAAAATCAACCATTCCGTTATCTTGTAATACACAATCCATCTCATCGAGACCAACGCGTTTAAGTTGATCATATGGATTTAAATTCACAAATTTTGGAACCCATATGTCCTCAAAGAATACTTTAGTGCTGTAGAGGTCATAACCGTAAGACGCTGGATCCCAGGCCAATCTTTCGTCTTTCCATCTTAATCTGAAAGCGCCGACTACTGCAATTTTACCATCAGTCTCGGAAAATTCTTTGAGTGTCACTAAGTTGAAGCTGGCAACTACGTTAACTGGCTTACTTCTATCATTTCCTGGTCGAATTCTTCTATTATATCCGTTCAACAAAGTCTTCTGTAGTAAAATTTCTTGGGTAATAGTGTAGCAATCCACTCCCAGTAAAAACGGGAGAAACCAGACTTTGCTAATCATTTTTAGTCCTTGTATATTAGTAATTTATGTCAATGTATAATCAAAAGAATTTGATTTTAGATATTGACCTATAAAAAGAATTAATCCACAACAATGACGACGGATTTGTGACCTATTTTTATAAATAAGAGGGCATAATACCCTCGAAGTTTAATCCTTTTAAAAGAGAAATTTCCATGATGTAGATTACGATACGACTTCTTTTGTTTTATCTTTCAGCACAATAGTACTCAACCTACAGTGCAATCAAAGCTGATAACTAGTTTTTGAATATTTCTCCGAAGATATTAATTTTCCCGGAATTCCAAGGCTTCAATATATAGATATAAAAAAATATAGATATAAAAGCCCTTGGTCTAAGATCTACAAAAACATATCAGGGATTCCAACCTACCTTTGGATATTATAAAACCTACAATTTTCTCTGAAATACCGACATGGAAGTTAATAAAACCAAATGCAGATATATCGTTAACTGAATTTAAGAAATCCGAAACGAATTCTCTCGTTTGAAAACAAATGTGGCCGAAATAAAACATTCTAAAGGTTCTACAGTCGATGGTTCAAAAGATAAAAATAGAGTTGCATCAGCTGCAGTTATTGAAGATAGTGTTTTCTCTACACGACTTCCGGATGAATCAACAATTTTTACAGCAGAAGCAAAAGCCATACAACTTGTATTTGAATATATAAAATATAAAATCTTCTAGTGAAAACGTATTTGCAATATTTTCGGACTCGCTCTCTTGGTTACAATCCATACAAAATAAGAATATTGACCAACCTTACATTTTAGATATATTAATTCAGTATTATCTTTTCACCCAACAAGGTAAAACAGTTAACTTTTGTTGGATTCGGAGTCATATCGGCATCCCTGGAAACACTAAGGCTGATAGTGCTGCAAAAACGGCACTTCAACATGAAAACTACTTTATTCAAAATTCCTTACACCGATCTGAAATATCCTGTTAAAATTTATGTTAATTCTCTTTGGCAAATTTATTGGGAGTTTTGTGATGAAAATAAGCTTTATGCTATAGAAAACAAAGTTAACAGATCGTCTGACTTCAACCTGAAACGTCAAGACGAAGTAATTATTTCAAGAATACTTACTGGTCATTCAAAAATTACACATGGACACTTATTGAATCGGGAGTCTCAGCCAGAATGTATATCCTGTGACTGTCCGATAACTATAAATCATATTCTCTTGGAATGTTCTGATTTTACACCTATTAGAAGCAGACATTCAGCTCACCTGAGCTGAAAGCTCATGTGAGCTTTTCTGATCACCTACATATTGTCCGTCTCCGTCCGTCTGTAAACTTTTCACATTTTCAACTTCATCTCAAGAACCACTGGGTCAATTTTGACCAAACTTGGTTCAAAGCATCCTTGGGTGTTGGGAAGTTTAAATTGTTTAATCAAAGGGCCAAGCTCCCTTCCAAGGGGAGATAATCAAGAAAAGACAAAAATAGGGTGGGGTCATTAAAAATTCTTCTTCTCAAGAACCACTAGGCCAGAAAAGCTGTAACTTGTATGGAAGCATCCTGGGGTAGTGTAGATTCTAAATTGTTCAAATCATGACCCCCGGGGGTAGGGTGGGGCCACAATGGGGAATCAAAGTTTTACATTGAAATGTATAGTAAAAATCTTTAAAAATTTTCTTCTCAAGAACCACTGGGGCAGAAAAGTTGAAACTTATATGGAAGTATCCTGGGGTAGTGTAGATTCTAAATTGTTCAAATCATGACCCCCAGGGGTAGGGTGGGGCTACAATGGGAAATCAAAGTTTTACATTGAAATATATAGGAAAAATCTTAAGAAATTTTCTTCTCAAGAACAACTGGGCCAGAAATGCTGAAACTTACATGGAAGCATCCTGGGGTAGTATAGATTCTAAATTGTTCAAATCATGACCCCCAGGGGTAGGGTGGACACAATAATTATTACAAGGGAGAAAATCTGGTAAAGAACAGCAGGGCCAAAGATACTCAGGTGAGCGTTGTGGCACATGGGCCTCTTGTTGGTAATGTGAGAACGATGTATTAACTTCTTACAAATGTGAATGTTTATACAATTTTAGAATATTTACATGAAACTGATTTTTACAGTAAAATTTAGAAACAATTTTAGTAATTTGTGATGAGAAATATAGAGATCATTTTATTTTTTAACAGTTTACATATTTCTTCGGATGGGACATCAAATGGTGTCCCGTGTCAAGGATTACAACCCCCTTGGCACGTAAAAATTCGTTTCTCTGGAATTCGAAAAAGAGTAGGTTCATTGGTGGCCGCCAGGAAACTAAAACCTTTCAAAAACCGTTCATTTAAACAAAATTATTCACCGAAACATGGCTTAAATCTGCCGACTCGGCGTTAAACAATCAATCAATCAATCACACACTGTAAATCTTATCAAAATCTGAAAAAGCGAGAAACTATTGACATGATATAACATCTAGCTCCTTTTCCCAAGATATGAAAAAAGTTTAACATAGATTCGATGTACATTTATGCATTCCATATAGAAAGATTGAAAATATACAAAACGTGAATTTAATCATGTCTTCTTTTATGTTGTTTATAAAATGTAAGAAAAGTTACATGAAATGTCCTGAATCATTTATGGGGATTCGCTCTAAATGTCTTTTTTCCATTTTATTATGTCATCAATTTGCACTTGACGAATGCATTCTGATTTCATCATGGTTTCTATTCAAAAAAGTACATCGCTATGCAAGCATCCCTTCTGGGATTCAGTTGATAAGACATAAAAATGGAAAAAAGAATTTTTAATTGATTAAGGTTTCTAATAACTAATTACTATAGTACTGTAAACTATAGTACTGATAAAGTTTTAAACTTATTACTATAGTCAATCAAAGTTTTAAACTTATTACTATAGTTAATCAAAGTTTTAAACTTATTACTATAATTAATCAAAGTTCCAAAGTTTTCACTATAGTTAATCAAATTTCAAAAGGTTTTCACTTTAGTAAATGAAAGTTCCAAAGTTTTCACTATGATAAATCAATGTTCCAAAGTTTTTTCTAAAGTTAATCAGAGTTTCAAGTTTTCACTCCATTAGATCAACGTTTCAAAGTTTTCACAATAGTGAATCAACTTATTTAAGTATTGTAATAATGTTTTGCTCATTTTGTCGTTTTTAAAAGGTGTGGAGGTGGGATTGGTTGGGGGCTGGGGGTTGTTGTACATGTTAATTTAAATTTACAAATTAATTAATTCAAATGCAATATTTATAAATTTATAAACATTTATAAATTATAAAAAACATATTTACTGAAATAGATGGAGCAGGTATTTTGGTTATAAATGACGCAAATTTTATCTTAAAGTAAATTATTTTCCTTTCTCCATTAAAAATCTTACACTATATCTGCATTTAATTAAAGACATTTTAAATAATTGTTGCTCATCTATCGGTGCGAGGGACAAACTTATATTAAACTTCATTTTTTTTGTGCATTATTTTTTTTTTATGGGAGGGGTCTGGATTTTTTTAAATATTCTCTGAATCTTTTATGAATTTTGACCATGAAATGCCATAAAATGTCAATTTGTAAGAATGGGAATCAAAAATATAATTCCAGGGGTTTAAATTTAGTAAATCAAAGTATCAATGTTTTTACTATAGTAAATCAGAAGTTCAGAAGTGAAAGTGAATCAAAGTTTCAAAGTTTTCACTTTAGAAAATCAAAGTTCCAAAGTTTTTACTATAGCAAATCAAAGTTTTTACTTTGATACTATAGTTAATTATAGTAAACTATAGTTTACTACAGTAATTTTTGTTAGGGAAAGCAGACACTACAAAAGACCATTTGGGGGCCTATCAAAAAATATTGTAATGCATTTGATTTAACGAATTGTCGAATGGGTTGAAATGTAAAAATCGTTATAACAATTTCTTGAATTCCTCTATATGTAGTAAGGAACTTAATCTTCAGGTCCGAAGCAAAGTTTTTCAGAGTGTGGTTGTGTGTGTGTGTGTGTGTGGGGGGGGGGGGGGGGTAAGGGGGACATCCTCCAAAATAAATTGATAAGCAAATAAACCTACACAATCTAAACTCGGAAGTCCTAATTGGTGGTGGTGGCTGGGGGAAGGAGATATGGGGAGGGAGTTGGACCTCGTAACATTTTTTTCAAATGCTGGAATTTGTCGGTGTTCAACCGTACAGCAAGAAAAAGGAGGGGGCAAGCAGCTTCCAAATGAAGATATTTACACAGTTAAACTACATCTAAAAAACTGGGAATCCCCCTTCTCCGCGTACTACAGTCCTGATCTTTTTTGACAATTTTTTAAACTCGTTAAATCAAATTTATTCTTTTGTCCCTAAAAATACACTGTAAATTGAGCATATAGAAATCAAGAATTCTAAAATTCAGTTAGTCAAATTTAATTTGATATGACAAATTTTAAAATCTGGCAAACAGATCTGAATTCTTTTCTTCGAAAATCTCTTTATCTTTCTTTTAAAGTGACTTCAGTACATTTCTCCAGCTATCATAATCGCCATCTACAGATCTTTTAAGTACTCTTCTGGGAAAATTACATATTGGATAAGCAGTTTTGTAAGAATTTTACAGATTTAAAAATTTATTTTTAGTAAACAAGGCCAGACCATTCATGTAAATAGACAGCAGACATTTTCAGAATTATGAAACTGATTGTCGTTGATTTGATATATCCCACTGTGGAAACTTACAAACTCAACCTCCGACCCTTCTACGATTTTAGAGGACAGGATAAATTGGTCATTCAGGAAACGAGATTGGTTTGATGGGGGCTTAGTTGATTTATATGGTCATTCTGACTATTTATATTATCAAGATCAGGTGAAGTGACATGGCTTTGTTCACTTTGTTCCTATAAATTGCTTAAACGACTATGTATTGAATAAATAGTGTTCAGAATTTCGTCAGCGCGGTTGCTTTCTTTAACAGTATTTTGTTTGAATTAGATCAAATTTTAGTTTGACTTCAATTTGTACACAATTTAACGAGGCCCAATCTACTTGATTTGCGCATACGTATTCATGCAGTGTTGTTTCAGACGCTTCATAGTACCCTTGATTGCCGTCACAATTGAAAACAATAACGTCACAGTAAAAATGACGTCAAATTGCGCTAAAATATTTTGCTATTCTTGCATTCCTGGTAGGTGTTGACTGTACATGTTGAAAGCTCACTCATTCTGGCATTTCAATCAATTCTTCTGTTTTACTACATGTTTTGATTTAAAACAACTTGGTAACATAATTTTTGATTTAAAAAAATGCAACCTAAAGTAAACACATGCAGTCTTTCTCCTTGAAAATGTTTATTTACCAATTTAGTTGATAACTTAACGTCACTGTATGCATGAAGTATATTGACTTTTTCAAAAACATTCTATGAGTCATAAAAATGCAACCAAGAAGAAATAAATACGTTAGTTTCCTACAAATTAACAAACTTTGTGATTTTATTGCCTTTTTAACCCCAACCCCACCTTTCCTCTTCCTTTACCACGTAAAAAATGTTTTGTATTAGACAAAATAGCGATTGGAGAGAAATTTCTTTCATAATGTATGGAGCATTTCATTTTAAAAAAACATATACAATATATCAATCATTTCTTGATATTATGTAAACCTACTGCGACTTTAAAATACTATTTTTGTGTTTTGATATGCCCCTTTTCATTACAATAAAGGCCACCCCCACTTTTCTTTTCAATTTCTAAATGAGGAATGGATAGTGCATAATATTTGTAAAAATCAAAAAAATTTCACCATTATTTTTTTAATTTATCAATGCCATTGTTTTTTATGTAGTTTTAACATACATTTGTGTGTAAAACTTAATTATTTTGAAATTGCCCCCATTCCACTACAATCAGGGCAAGGTAACAAAATTTCAAACTAATTTTTCTTAGCATGATACATATAAATATATATCAACAATTCAAAAAGTATTTCCCGTCCAAATAGATTGGGCCTCGTTAAATGTATATAACGTCAGGCGGACCGATACGTTTTTTGACGCAAGTCATTGTGACGTAGGCAACACAGTTTTTTGACAGCACGGTAGGCCAAGGGTTTGTGAGGAGAGTAGCGTATCAGAAACCCTTGGCCGGCGAAGATGGTAATATTTTAAACCAATAAAATAGCGCGTTAAATTAGAATTAAATTATATCGTCGATATAATGATCTTGTTTGCAAATACAATACAAGTATATCGTTAAGTCGAATGTTGACTGATATCTTTCATACAAATTGTATTATTTTCACATTAAGTTGTCTAAAGATTTTTTTGTTTACCCGATCATGACAAAGAGCATAAGGCGGATGTGACCGGTCGACAGGAGATGTCCTCGCTTCCAAGGCACGTGATCCCACCTCTGTTTTCAGAGGTTCGTGTTTTTCTCAAAACTTGTAAAGTTTAATTGCGCTCTGAGCTTGATTACTGTTCGTTATCTTCACATTTTATTTGTAATTCAATATTAAGATTTACTTACATTGATTTCGGATCAATTCCGTTGATAGAGTGCCGTTTAAAAAAATGCTTTAACAAAAACATATAAACCACGAACACCTAATTGCTAGTTATATATAAGCTATACTGACTTCTGACCCTGTAGAGTAAGCAAACGAAGAAATGGCGTGATTAAGCAGAATCTTTGTAGCAATGAAGACTGCATAGTATCACTCAAAGCAACAAGGAGAATAAAGGGATCTTTAATTTTCCCAAATTATCTCTGAGGTAGATGTTCCATTTGAAAGTAATATTAAAATTCAAAGGAGTAAGAGTAGTCGGTAAAGCTGTCGATGCTCATTAAGGCACTGTGCATAACATTTCAATACATATTCTGTATTTTAAGAAAATATTATTATGAAGTAAACAATATTATTCAACACCAACGACAGAAAGAAAAAAGTTATGCAAACTCTATCAAACGCTTTTCCGACATCATTCCATTTAATATGTATTTCATCAGATCCCATGATTGGTTTTTCAGATTTTATTTCAACAACTTCGTCAGGTTTGATTGACTGCTTCAAGTTAACTTGCGTACAACACAAATAGAAACAACGTGTAAACCCCCGAAGAATCCAGGGAACCCGTATGTCATCGCTCCTGTGATAGAACCTCATTCCAATAACAACTGCTAAAATCATTCCACATCCGATGATCATATCCACCAACAGTTTATATGTAAGAAGTGATACGTTTGGTTCTGAAGCTTCCGGAAGTTTATCCTGAATGATTGTAAGAAAAACCGCTACCGCTAGGAGAACCGTAATGCTGAATCCCAGACGTTCTCCAGATTCAACCGGAAGTAGGAACACGAAAAGCTGTATGAAATTCATGAGAACAATTGGCAAAAGAAGGCCAGCTATGTAGTATGTTGTCCGCCTCGTCATGGATATCGTGAGATGAATGACTTGAAAATTCTTAGCAGTTGTTTCTATAGTAAAGGATGTTTCTGTGACTTCCCATAATCCATTTTTTTCATAGAGATCCATATGAAACTTGGACGATTCTGCTAAAATATTGATATCGTCAGAATAGTAACCGGGAATGTAATACAATAAGGAACATTTTTGTTTATCAAATGGGTAATACGTCACATCTGCATCACATGTGGATTCATACAAATCTGGCGGGTAAAAATCCACTCTCCCACTATCTTGTAATACACAATCCATCTCATCCAGACCAACGCGTTTTAGGTTATCGTATGGATTTAAATTCACAAATTTTGGAACCCATATGTCCTCGAAATATACTTTAGTGCTGTAGAGGTCATTACCGTAGGACACTGGGTTCCAGGCCAATCTTTCGTCTATCCAACTAAATCCAAAGGCACCGACTACTGCAATTTTACCATCACTCTCGGAAAATTCTTTGAGTGTAACTAAAGTAAAGCTGGCGAGTATGTTAACTGGCGTAGTTCTATCTGCTCCTGGTCGAATTCTTCTGTTATATCCATTTAACAAATCTTGATGTAGCAAAGTTTCTTGAGCAATGGTGTAACATTCTACTCCCAGTAAAAGCGAGAGAAACCAGACTTTCCAAAGCATTCTTTAGTAATTTGTGTCAAAGTTTCAATGCTCCATCAATGTGCCATAACAGAATAAAAAGTACTATCAAAAAAATTTGATTCCCGTTATTGACCTTCGGAAAGAATTATTGCATAAGAATTAAGACGGATTTGCGAGTTGTTTTGTAAATAAGAAGGCATGATATCATCGAAGTATAATCCTTTTAAACGAAAAAGTTTCGATGATGTAAACAATCATGAGGCGTCTACTGTTTAATCTCTCAAAATAAGTAGCATACTATGCACATCAATGGTCATTACTTATATATGAATGATTCTCCGAAGATGTTAATTTTCAAGAATGTTAAGGATTCAAAGAAGAAACATAGGCATTTTGCACTCTCCATTCTTATACTCGGGATCCTCGGGACTCTACTATTCATGGATCATACTGGACAAGGTATAAAACAACCACGTAGAATTGCTTTGTAGCTTACAAACTATGTTAAAGAGCAGAGGAATGATGAGAACTATTGCATCACAGTTTTTATTTTTAAAAATCCAGTTCCCAATTAATTTTTTTTAAAGATATGTATTACCAGTACACACCCTATGCTAATGTAGATTTATTTACGATATTATGTGAAAAAATCCTTTATAACAAAAACAAAAAAACAAAAAACAAAAAAAACGATCGATCTATATATTTACGTTTACTGGAATTATTTGATTGTTTTTAAATCACATATTAATTTAATACCCTCTAGAACAAGTTAAGGTGATTAAAGGATCAATTATGAAATCAATCCATTTCAAGAGTAGGGGATAGAAAGATTTAAAGTCAATCAGACATGTCTAACTTACAGACATTTAAACATACAGACACTGTCATTCAAAACTGATCTTTAACATACAATAGCTTCCATACATTATAGCATGTATCCTTCAGACACTGTAAATCTAATGAAAAATGCAAGAAAATACTGATATGACATATTATTATATAGTCTATTTATAGTTCCTATATAATCTATACAAACGCAAACAGTTCATAACACTACATATTCACTGGTTTTGAAGCCGTATTCACCGGAGGGTCGGTGCGCGTGCAGAGGCATTGTGACGTCACAATCAACACCTCAAACAATACATTCTTCAAAATCATATGTCATTCTAAATATTTTGAATATTCCGTACAATCAAAATGAATTTGAATTACAATACCTATACTCGATTCCTAAACTTCGTAAAAGTCCTCACAAACAAAGACACATAGTGGGTTCCAATAAAAGTTTACCAAGCCGCTTTTTTACTCCTCAGTAAAACATTCACAGCTTTTTGACATCTTAGACTGCTTTTTCAATAAAAAATGGAACTCGTAAATTTACTTACCTTGTCATTTGTCATTTGCAAAAATATTTCGATAAAAACATTCGGATTGAATACACAAGTACTTTTAAGTTGATATTTTGAATTTTGGTTGGTGGTTAAAGTCCCTCTCGAGAGTTTTTCACTTATATGGAGACGCCACCACTTGCAGATGGAGGGCACTCAGGGCCATTGAGCAGTGAGGGATCTTTTTTGTCCCAGCACCTACTGTGACACAGGACCTCGGATAATACGGTCTCATCCGAAGGACAGGGTCTCCATGTCCCGTAGTGGATTCGAACCCGCGACGTAAGGACAGCTCCTTACTCCGCGACTCTAGAGCAGACGATGTAACCACTGCGCCATGCGGGCGACGTTATGGTAGTATTAAAAAGATGGTTGAGTTTCTGCTTGACAATATCTATGTTGTTTTTGGATGCAGGTTTCCCATCAATCTGTCGGAATTCCCCTAGGAACCAACTGCATCCCGTTATTAGCAGACCTATTATTGCATTCACATGAAGCAAATTTATTCAAATATTCCTTTGAGAAGAAGAAAACACCTGTGGCCTTCAACTCGACATTTAGATATATCGACTATGTATTTAACAATTAACAATAGTAACTTCCATTCATAAGGCGATTCGATATATTCCAGTGAGCTCGAAATAAAAGATACCACAGAGTCTGGCACATCTGTTAATAGTAACCTAACATCAAAACTTTCTGATAAACATGACGACTTTAACTTTTCTATCGTCAACTTTCTTTACTTATGTAGCAATATACCCTTATCACGTGCATATGGGGTTTATGTCTCCCGTTGTTTCAATACGCAGGAGCATGATCTACGTACGAAAAATTTCTGAAAATAGGCACGCTATTGATAAACAAGTTGATGAAACAAGGATATCAGTAGTCTTCTCTCGTTTAAAGTCAGCATTTTGAAAGTCCTATGTTCAATACAATGACCTTGTCAGCAAATACAATCTATCATGAAGTTTATTGCTGACTGACGTTTTCCATAGTAATTGTTAGGCCATTATTTACACACTAAGCTGTCTACGTTTTTTTTCCGTTCGCCTAATCATAATATGGAGTACATGCAGGTGTGACCGGTCGACAGGGGATGCTTACTCTTTCATGGTACCTGACCCTGCCTCTGATGATTTGGAGGTCCGCACTTGCTTTGCTTTCAATTTGTATTATTTCAATGGATTTTTGAGCTTGATAAACTCTTCGTTATCCCCATATTTCACTTAAGCATTATAGACATTTGCTTTAAATTTCCATAATTAATGACCTTTGTCATGGAATCTACTTCCACTGGACTAATGCATCCCCATTTTATCGTATTTTCTTTTTCAAAAACGTACACCGCTATGCAAGCATCTCTTTTGGGATTCAATTGATACGACAGATATGAGAAAGAATTTTAATCAAAGTCACTTATTATGAATGTTAAATCTATAAAGTTGTTCTTATACCTTTCTGTACAAAATCAATAAGAAAAACCTAAAATAGATTTGATTAATTATTGACAAGTACATGCATTACATTTATTAAAGTGACGCAATGAAAAATTGAATAAAGACATAGAAGAATACCATTTGATGTGTTGACCACAATACAAAATACAGTACTTAATAGAAAGTAGACACTATGAGAGGCCATTTAGGGCCTATAAAAATTGTTATGCATTTGATTTAACAAATAGTCGAAAGCTTTAAAACTGTCATATTGTAATTTTTGAATTTACCGGGTGGTAGTAAACACAAAAATTACAATATGACAACTGTTGTCATATTGTAATTTTTGTATTTACTACCACCCGGTAAATTCAAAAATTACAATATGACAAAACGAGAAAAAAAAATGTTATAACAATTAACATCAAATTTTTGAACTTATTACAACAAATATAATATTTTGTAAGAAAAACAATTCTTTGATTTGTGAAAATAATTTTTATCAATTTACTTCATAAATTACACTCTGTCAGCGAATTTCGGTGATTTGTTAAAATAATTTTTATCAATTTACTTCATAAATTACACTCTGTCAGCAAATTTATCGTACGAAATTTAAAATTTATACGACAAATTTTAAAATCTGTCCGATAGAATTATTTTCTTTGGAAATTACTTTCATTATCTTTAATAGACACCTCAATACATTTCCCAAGCTTTTAAATTTTAGTAAATAAGGCAAGACCATTCATCTTAATCGAAATCAGACATATAGAATTATGAAATAGAGTGAAAATAAGTGTCGTTGATTCGATATATCTCAATGAACTTGAAACAAAAGAAAACACTGAGTCTGACAAAATTGTTTTAAACTTGGATGTTTGACTAGAAAAAGACATTAAAGGCAAAATAACACAAGACTAAGTCCTAAATGAGATACATGTACTTCAACTTTTCTATCGTCAATTTCCCTGATTTATATATATGTAGCAATATACCATTATCATCTGTATATAGATATGTTAAGTCCCCCTGTTGATTCGATACGCATGTTCTGCGTACGATCAATTTCAAACACGGGGCGGACTGCTGGCAAATAAGTTGTTGATACAGTGATATCAACCCTCTTGTTTAAAGTGAATATTTCACAAATTCTTTTGTTGATATAATTACTTGATTGCAAATACAATCTTCCGTTAAGCGGGGTGTTGACTGACGTTTTCCATAAGATTTTTTTGCTCAATAATCTTTACTCTTAGTTGTCTACGTTTCTTTTTTCCATTCCCTCGATCATGATAAAGAGCACGAGGTGGGTGTGATTGATCGACAAAAGATGCTCACTTCTCGATGGACCCTGATCCCACCTCTGTTTTCAGAGGTCCGTGTTTGCTCTGCTCACAATTCACAATGTTTAATTTGACTCTCTGGGCTTGATTACTGTTCGTTATCTTCACATATTTTCTACTCCAATACCATGATTTACTTACAATAAAATATGGTAAAATCTGTACAAGAGTATCGTTAAAAATACTTCAACAAAAACGGTTGGATCCAGGACGCTTTACTAATGTGTAATGTTTGTTGCAATAAAGACTATATTAATACAATTATTCCAAACAACTACTAAAACAAGAGCATCCCCTTTTAAGAAAGCATATCTATAAATCAAGGCAGCATTCGACATCGATCCCGATGCATATTATGTCATGATCACTTTCGTTCCGCACACTTCGGTTATTCACAAAAGGACAAACTAACCCACCCACCCACACTGTATCCCCTCCAACTCCGTTCCAAGGGGATAATAAGCAGATCTTCAATTTTACAAAATTATCTCTGAGGTAGAAGCTCTATTTGAAAGTATTTCTAAACTTCAAATGATTAAGAGGAATCAATAAAGCTATGGATGCTCTTTACTGTTCTGTTTGTAACTTTTCAATACATAGTTTTCGAAAGTATTTTTAAGCAAATATTGTTATAAAGTAAACAACATTATTCATCACCAACGACAGAAAGAATAAAGGTAAGCAAACTCTATCAAACGCTTTCCCGACATCATTCCATTTAATAGGTATTTCATCAGATCCAATACTTGGTTTTTCATGTTTTATTTCAACAACTTCGTCAGGTTTGATTGACTGCTTCAAGTTAATTGGCGTACAGCACAAATAGAAACAGCGTGTAAACCCCCGAAGAATCCAGGGAACCCGTATGTCATCACTCCTGTGGTAGAATCTCATTCCAATAATAACTGCAAAAATCATTCCACATCCGATGATCATATCCACCAATAGTTTATATGTAAGAAGTGATACGTTTGGTTCTGAAGCCTCTGGAAGTTTTTCCTGAATGATAGTTAGAAAAACTGCCACCGCTAGGAGAACCGTAATGCTGAACCCCACGCGTTCTCCAGATTCAACCGGAAGTAGGAACACGAAGAGTTGTATGAAATTCATGAGAACAATTGGCAAAAGAAGGCCAGCGATGTAATACGCCGTCCGCCTTGTCATGACAATTGTGAGACTGATAATTTGAAAATTTTTAGCAGACGTTTTCACAGAAAATGAGGTTTTTAATATTTCCCATAGTCCATTCTTTTCGTAGAGTTCCATATTAAAAGCTGATGATGCTGCTGTGATGTTGATATCGTTACTATAGTATCCGGGAATGTAATACAATAAGGAACATTTTTGTTCGTCAAATGGGTAATGCGTCACATCAGCATCGCATGTAGATTCATATAAATCTGGAGGATGAAAATTCAATTCGCCATTATCTTCTACTGTACAATACATTTCATCGAGACCAACACGTTTAAGTTTATCGTAGGGATTCAAATTCACAAACTGTGGGACCCATATGTCCTCAAAATATACAATAGTGCGGTAGAGGTCGCCTCCGTAGGACGCTGGGTCCCAAACCAATCTCTCGTCTCTCCAACTAAATCCAAAGGCACCGACTACTGCAATTTTACCATCACTCTCGGAAAATTCTTTAAGTGTTACTAGAGTGAAGCTAGCTTCTAGATTAACTGGCCTAGTTCTATCAGCTCCTGGTCGAATTCTTTTGTTGTATCCGTTTAACAAATTTTGATGCAGTAAAGTTTCTTGGGCAATGGTGTAACATTCTATCCCAAGAAAAAGCGAGAAAAACCACACTTTGCCGAGCATTGTTCTTTTTTACTCCGTGTACGTTTGTAATTCGTGATTGCAAAAGTTATAATACTCCAGCAATATGTCGCCACAGCTTAATAAGTCCGGTTAACATGACTCTGATTCCAATTAATGACCTTAAGAAACAATTAATGTACAAAAATTTAGACGGCTTTGTGAACTTATTTAAAAAACAAGAGGGCATAGCGACAAATACATGTAATCGTTTTTAAGTAATTCTCTTCTAAATCCGTTTCGATGACTATAGATAAGAGTTGACCTACTGTTTTGTCTGTCAAAATTCGCATAATATGGAGAGGAGTATATAACACACGACCTGTCCATCGATTACATATAAAATGTGATTACTTGTTTTAGTATGTTTATCCAAAGAGAGATATTCAATTTTCGAAATGCAGTGGTTTGAACATTTAAAAGGACAAGTTGGAAAGCATTTCAAAGAGATTCAAGTCTGAATCCAATTTGGTTTTTTTTCCATGATGTACATTGGAACCTCAATGTGCCCATAAAAACTATTATAAAACAGCGATGCATGGTGTGTTATTATCAAGCTTACAAAGTGGGTACTAGGATATCATGAAGGATGAGAAGTAGAATCAAAGTGTCCAAGCAAATGGCTTTACATTCAATTTTTTTAGATGGAGAAAATTGTCATTTATACTTTGATTACGATGTTCTCTTTAGTAGTCCATCAGGACAGATCTAGTTTGATTTTGGGTGAATTTATAGCCTCTAGAGAATTCTTTAGACTGATATGTAAAATTTCTTGTTGATTTTAATATTACTTTATTTGTCCTTGTATTAGAATCCTATGATCTTGCATTTTACTTTAAGATAACCTTCAGCTGCCTAGCTTAAAAAATTAGGTCAAAAGTATACGTAGGAGTCTAAGAGTCTTGTTATTTTTTCCTGTTTTTATTGTATTTATTAATTTAATACCCTCTAACGCTAATCTGATTAAACGATAACCAATAAAGATCAACTTTCATAAGGAGGGGTTAAAGAATTTCGAGAACGAAGTCAAAATTTATTAGTACAAATGTACCTACATGTATGATTATCCGACACACAAATAAACAGATACTTTCGTTCAGAATTTATTTTTCACATATCCTAGGTTTCAATCCTAGGTTTTATACACTAATATACATGTCACCTTCAAACACGGCGTGAAAATCTTATCAAAACGTGAAAGTGTAAGAATATATAAACTGTTAAGGCATAACCATCACATTCTTGGCCTAAAATACATTTATACATTCCATACAGAGAGAATGACAAAATACAAAACATGAATTTAACATATCCTGTTCTATACTGTTGAACAGTATAGAACAAGACATTGAACAGTGTTCATATTCTGTGAGAAATTGAAATCATTTAAGGATTTGTTTTAATATTTAAATTGCAATTGTACACTTTATATAATTTAATCTATTTCCACTGAACAAATGCTTCTAGATTATTTCTTGGAAAATCTAACTTTTACCGTAAAAAATGTTTCCTGTAGAGCGTGTTGATTTAGTACAGTGTAAACTAACCTCCACAGTATGGAGTCCTTGTAATATACATGTATGATTCTCCTGGACTGTGGTTTGGTAGATGTGACAGGATTTTCTGCCACCAATCTTCACTTCCATCTAGAAGTGTAAACATAAAATTAATCTAATGATTATATATCATATATGTCTGTTGTATACGGTGTTTTCCTATATAATAATACATGTGTATTCGTGTGTCAGCTGAAAGATTTTTGAGAGAGAGAAAGAAAGAGTATTATAATTGATTTTTTTATATGTCATCATAAATTGTAGCAAGGTAAATATCCATAAATAAAATATATTGATCTTGCATTGTAATCAGGGATGGGGTAATCGTAATCAGTAATCGTAATCAGGTGTAATTGATTACAGTTTGTGGTGTAATCACGAGTAATCAGTATTCATCCATTCTTCTGATTACAAGTAATTGTAATTTAATCGATTACTCTGGGGAAAAAAATCGTGCAATAATGATTATTTTTGATTACTTTATGATTACAATGATTAAAAACTTTATAAAATCATGGTCTTTGATGATATTCAGTGAATATTTTTCAGTGTGCAAATTTGTTTATAAACAAAAAATATAATAAAATAATAGGCTATATATAGCTATATCTTCTTCTATTACCTTCAGAAATGCCTATAATAGGTCCATATAACAGGCAATGAGTGAATTCTCTTAGTTCCTAGCTATATTAAGTTGTCATTTCAAAATACTTTGGCAGGTTAGCATTTTGCCTTGTGTGGCTAGATATCTATACTGAGGAAAATTACTACATGTACATGGTCATTTTTAAAGTTTGACTTTTTTAACATGCATGCAATGCAACATTTTATTTTCCCTGTAAATCTTTAAATATACAGGTGAATTGTTTTTTTATCAAATGTATCTTTGTTATGTGTACTTTAACAATCACAACTTTTGATTTACATTAAAAAAAATTGTGAATTAATTAGCAATCAAACACAGGTGTACTTAAGTTGGGTCATGTTGGGTAATAAGAATGGTGAACTAACCACCTTGTCCAGTCAAAGTGTTAATTCTAGTAACAACATCTAACTAATTGAAAGGTTCTTCACTCATATCAATATGGTCAGTTACATATATAACAATTTTCTATTGAATCCCTTTATCTCTAACTATAATTATGTCCAATTTGATTGATAAATTAGTTATATTTGTTTTTTTTTATCATCAACAATAACACAGATAAGATTGAAATCAGATGATCAGATAAACCATCTCGAGCATCTTTATAAGAACTTGTAACCAAACTTTGTCTGAACTCTACCTCTAAAATGTAAATGATGATTAAAAAAAGTTTTCCCCCCGAACATTAAATAAAAAAACTTTTTAAAAATTAAATGTAATTCAAAGTAATCACAAGTAATCATGATTACATGATGGAAAAGTAATCAGATGTAATTGATTATTTTTTTAAAAAATGGCTATAACCAGCTTGTAATCGATTAGTTTTAATATCCAAAGTAATTGTAATTTAATCGATTACTTTTGAAAGTAATCGACCCCATCCCTGATTGTGATATAATAATGTGTTTAATTAGAAAAAAAGATATTTATTTACCTTATTGTAATTTTTTATCGGAATATTACCATGCAGTTTAACAAGTTAATTAATCTCATTTTTTTTTACAAATTGAAAAAGCTTCTGCTTTTATACTAAATATATAATTAAAGTATTATTTATTACATAGATAAGTTAAGTCCAATTATGGGCCCAGATGGCATATCATTGTAAAAAAAAAAAGTCTAATATGAAAAGATTTCATTTAAAATATTCAATCATTGTTTATCACAATGGAGTTTCTTTATTCATTCATTATTTTATCATTGTTATCAATTTAATTGATTTTTGGCCCTATATAAAATACGAACGAGGCCATGAATATTTTCTAATTTTTGTCAGACTGAGTGGAAAATTTGAAACTCGAATATATACAAGGTATACATGATAAATTTTCGTTATCATGATATACGTAGAATATATATTATTTATATCGTAGAACTGATTTTCAAAGAGGAATGAACACATGCAATTTAAAAAAAAATTTAATGCATGAAATTTTCATTTTTCATTGCACTGAAGGTTTGCCAAAGGGGAAGACCATGCATTTGATTCGAGGGAGGGGGCAGGGCAGATTTCGGAAATAAATAATCTGTCCTCGAAAATGTTGAAAATAAATAATCTGTCCTCGAAAACGTTGAAAATAAATAATCTGTCCTCGACTGGCAAGGAAATAAACAATCTGTCCTTGACTAGTGTGTACCCCCCTCCCACGAAATATAGGTTTAGAGTTTGGGAGTTTTCCTCTTTTTTTTTTTTTTTTTTTTGCCAATTTTCTTTTCAGAGATGAAGAAATTAAACAATCTGTCCTTGATCATCTTGAAAAAATATATAATATGTCCTTGACTGGTATAAAAATAAATCATCTGACTCTAATAAAAATTTTATCATCCCCCCCCCCCTTCAGAATAAAATGGTCGTCTCCTGTCCGTCGTCGCAAGCCACGGGTTTTGTGTCCATTCTATTTCCACAAAAGGACACAAAACCCGTGGCTTGCGACGATGTCCCCTGTCATTTATTTTTTTTTTACACGCTAGGACCGAATTTGGGAGTTACCTTTCTTGATGGGTGACGTCATTTTCACTTCGTTCGACGCCATTTTGTTCCTGAAAAAAGCAAGTAAGTAAAGGAAACACTGCTTACAACGCTATTAATTAGCTAAGTTGCGAATTTATTAGTATTATAAAATAAATTAAATGTTTTCCTTGGAAAACACAAACAGTCCCGCACCTTATTTCAATGTGAAAGAGGAGTGGATGCTAGCATTCAGCCCGAAGACCATTCCGGGCAAAATAATGTAATTTGCATACGACAGGCACGCACCTCATGATCCACTAAAAGATGAATACCGTGATTTACACGACTGATGTTCGTTCATTATCGCGTTTTATTGTAAGAGTACATAATATATAAACATCTACACAGACTGTCAATAGCACAAAGCGACTTTACATAGGCCTAACGCATTGCATGGCGTGAAAAGTCAAACTTGAAAACGATTAGTATTTTGAGTATAAGCATAATAAGGGTATATATATAGGTCCCTGTTAATCAGTTTCGTGAATATTATTTTGCCGTCAACAAATGATTTTACAAAGAAACAAAAGGCTCCGTATATAAACATGTAGTCTCGGATATATTCATTATGCCCAACACATGAAGTAGGCCCTACTTCAAGAAGTCTTCATTTCATGAGAGAGTTGTAGCTCAGAAACGACTTTGAATCAGTTTTATGGAGTTTGAATTCCCTTTTCACAAGGTTTAGACAATTTCCTTGCATGTCCTAATGACATGTTTTCTTGGATGATCATATTATTAGATTATACGTACTAGTGTATAATGCTTTATGTGCTTGTAAATAAAACAGACAAAGCCATATTTGTTGGATTAATTCTTAAACATTAGGTTCAGGTCTCAGATTAAGTGACGTAGAATCATCTGATATATTGTACTACTTTTATTTGTAGCAATTATTTATTCCAGAAGTATATGTATTTTAAAAATGTCGACAAGCATGATAAATACCCCCCACCCTCACCCCTAAATCTTTTCAGGAAAGAAAAAAAAATTTAAGCTAGTTGATTTTTTTTCACATGGTCAGGCAAGGGCAATCAATTTTTTTCATTGCAAACTTATTTAATTATTTTATTCATCGTAGAAAGCAGAAACATGTCTAAATATATATATAGATATGTTTCCTCAAGAGATTTCACTGCAGTACGACAGGAAAAAAAGTTGATTTTAAGTTTGTCAGGGGTTCCACCTACATAAGTGGACTTAAGACCCCTGATGTCATGAGGATGTATTATCCCATGCTCTCTGAGTGACTTCAGAATGTTCATAAAATAATTTTCATTATCCCTTGCTTGTGAATTCTCCTTTGTTCATACCTGAAAATCATGATTTTTTTTCAAATTCATTGAATTCCTCACAGTTCCTCACAGTTCCTACTACTTAAACCTAGTTATTTTAATTATTATATTTCGTTGTTTATCTTGTAAATTCAATAATGAATATAGGTAATCGTTTTTTTTTTTTTGGTCTGTTCCACCTCAGAAATTGGTACTCTCTTGCCATAGAAATAGTTTTCTCAAAGTCCTTATGTTTTTTAGCAAGAAAATTGAATTTAGTGAGTGCATGAACTTGCTAAAAATTTCTTTAAAAAAAGTAAAGCAAGGTATTAATTCCAGAATGGAAGATGATCTCTCAGAGGGGAAAATAGGAAATTTTGAAGGAGGAACAATTACCTTAAATTTGGAAGATGCCACTCAGCTGATCCTTCAGCAGCAGGGGTTACAGGGAGGAGCCCTACCCCCAGGGACATACCAAATCCTGACCCAGGACGGAATTCAGATCTCTGACAATTCCCTGACAATCACAGATGATGGTTTGGCACAGATACTGGGTAAGATTCTGGTACCGATTTTATAAATGAAAGATGTGTAAATTAACATTGTTTCCTTTGTAAGAAAAGAATTTGCTCACTTTAAGGTTTATTTCTCTTCATTGACATGAAATGTGCAGATTTTAAATGTTCATTACGAGTACTCTATTAGATTTTAGATAAACAGGAGAATACACCATGATACCTGTCAATTATATATTTATATATACAAGTATTCATGTATTTAGAGAGATTAACTGATAGTGAGAAAAGAAGGCAGCTGCGATGAAAAATATTTTTTTCAATTGTGAAATATTATCACATTATAGATTTTTGCGCATAAGAAATTATCAATAATGTTAGAAAAAATCTCATTCTTTATCCTGTAGGTGTTGAAAGAGCAGAAAACCTCAGTGAGCAGTCTATGTCAAACAGTGTAGGGGAGGTAACTGGAGCTAATGTTTTGGACACTACATCTAGTGATGTACAGAATGGATCAGGGGAGGTAACTGAGGCCCATGGAGAGAGTGTACCTCTAGTAGAAGACTCATCAACGGCCACAGGAGGAGAAAATTCTCTGGAACAAAATGAAACAGCTACTAGAGCAGAGGGACAGACTGAAAAAGAAGAAACTGAACAACAAAAGGTTGGTTTTTATATCAAACATCTAAAAATGGGCTTCTTCCTTAGGAAAAAAAATCAAGATTTATTTTTCAATGAAAAATTGATTAACTTTAAACCTTAATAGAGTTTTAGGAAAGTAACTTTTACTGTATGGGGGAAAAAAGTATGTCAACTTCTTGTTGTCCATTGGGATTTAATTGGAAAAATGAGGATTTACATGTAATTAGAAGCAGTGATTAGTAGTTTCTATTAACTTCATATGTTGTAATTTTTTTCAGAGGATACCTCAGCTCAAGCTTGTAAAATAGAAGCATCTGTAGACTAATTTTGGTCATTAGCATTTTCCATAAATCATATGTATGATATTCTCTGTATTAAATTTGATATAATTATAGCCACTGAATGCAATTTCTTGGGAAACAAAAGATTTCACATCTCCAGAAAGCCCAGAAACAGTCCAGAATAAAACATCACAAATCTTACTGGAAAATATTGAGAAAACAGGTTTGTTAAATGGTTGCTGTGCAATAGCAATATTTTGTATTTCTGAGTGGTTAATGTACATGTCTGTATTAAAAACTTTGAATTTGGTCATGATTAACAGTTTATTATTGTGCCTTGTGAACATAATTCATTTTCACCATGTTTTCAATAGTTTTATACTTCCACTAGAGTATTCAAAGGAGATCTGCATCAAAAGAAAGCTTTATGCAATCTATGATAAATAGTAGTGTAAAATTATACCTGCTAATTATTTCAAAAAATATAATGTATCTTTATGTTGGTCTTGTCCTGGATGTGATTTGTCCTTTAATTCTTGCAAATTTCCTGAAATTACAAAGCACACAAGGTGTAACCTTAGAAGTCTGCCTGAAACAACATATGTATTTTCTTTTCTATCATTGTTAATATTGCACACAAAGTAAAGCACCATAAGATCTGCTATTTTCGTAATTTTATTTGTATAGTATAAGTGATGGGAAAGTCAGAGATTAGTATTAAAAAAAGGACCTAAGAAAAAAATTCTGAATTTCATACAAACAATCATATGAAAAATGATGTGCATTTTAGCTTCAAGTGGAGATAGAGACGTTTCTACTATTCAGCCAACCACAGGACCCACCATTCCCTCTAATCAGCCAATCAAAGATCTCCATGTTATCATAGAACAAGAGGCTCCGCCCACCCCTGACACACCCACTTCTGGCACATCACTTGATCTTTCCAAACCTATTGAAGTGACCAATGAAACCATTGTTATAATTGATGGAAAGAAGTGTGTCCTGTCAGCCAATCCAGACACAGGACAACTCTGTGCCTATCCAGTGTTACCATCTGAAGGTAGAGAATTATTAAATCTAGTGATAATTAAGGCTATATGCTAAAGGTACATGTATTTTACTCCTACATGTACCAGTAAGGGCCTAGTCCCTATATGCTCCTGATGTATGCAGTGTCAAGTCAAAAGTATCTTGCTGTGAACCTCTAGCATGCCGAAGGACATATACTTTAGTTAGTGACCAAATTTGAATTTGAAAAAAAAAATCTGCAAGCATATTTTCAAATTTGTTCAATAAATTTCTCTCTGAGAGCACTTGCTGGTAGAATTCCAGCAATACCAATGCTATTTTTAATATTTTATTTCCAGGTAACATGTTAATGCCACATTCTTGTCTATATCTCTCGGTGATGTAAATTCAAAAATTTCTGATTGTATTCTAATGATTTACTTGTTTTTCTTTATTATTAATTGCATTGTTTGGATTACAGGCAAAAGAAAGCGTGGAAGACCTCCAAATTCCTCTCGGAAAAATGTAGGAATGGTTCCACCTGCAAAGAAGGCAAAGAAACGAGACCCAGTATTAATGGAGACTTACATGGAACAGACGAATGCTGCAGAGGGTCTCTTAGAACTATCAAATACAGGTGATTTTTCTAACCCTACAGAAATAGAAGCAACTAATTAAAAAGGGCATCACAGCTAAAAAGATAACACGCCTGTGTTGGCTAGTTTATGAAAGATTAAGAGTAGCTAATAAATATTAAAGTGCAAGAAAATATTAGAATATTATTACATGTACCCAGGACTTCAATTTCATGTTGTGGGTAATTCTGATGTTGAACTACAGTCAAACCTTGTTATTTCGAACTGATTTGGTGGAGAAAAAACTTCAAATATCTGTGGATTCAAGATATCCAGGGTGAAATACTTAAAGATTTGCAGTTGAGACTTCCAAATCACTTCAACATATCCATGGTATTCGAGATATCTGTGTTTGAGATACCGAAGTTCAACTGTAATACTTTGACAGAAAGTTTTTTGTTTTTGTTTACAGGCCCAGATGGAGTAAGAAGAAGTGGAAGAAGCAGAAAAAAAGCCAGACTTCTGGATGGTCTGTATATATATGTACTTCCTCTTTGCATGTAAATTAAAAAAAAAAACTTCTTTTCTTAGTCTTATTGCTTTTTAAGGCCAGTTTTTGTACAATCTTGTTTACTTGTAGGTCCAAGTTTTTGGCTTGTAATCTCATATTCTTATGAACAGCAGACTTAGCTTAAGTCAGTATCTGTTTAATAGCACAGAAATATTGACTCTTCATATACAGATGTGAAATTTGAAATACTACAGATAAGGACTGTTCTCTTTGGTCTTTTGGGGTTTTGGGTTGCATTCAGCATTATTTAAATGCATTAACTTCTGAATTGGGATCAAACTTTGTATAATATTTATTCTCTTGATTTGGAAATCTGATTTGAGGATAAATCTTGCAATAAGTATTCATATGTAGTGTTCATGATCTGAGGTGTATATCATTAATTACATTTGCATGATACTAAATCTAAAGCGTAACACCTGATAACATATGTCTGTATGTTTTCACAGATTACGAGGTGACGGAAGTCGGCAGTGATGAGGAAGTTTTACATGTAAAGGAGGAGAAAGATGAAGATACGGAATTCTCCCTGCCTGGAATTAAGAAACTCAAGACAGATTCTAATGAGGTCAATCCAGTCGTCCTGACAACGACCATGACCTCTAAAAACTTCCTGTCACCTACTGGAGGTCAGTTGAATATGATGTGTCTTATTCACCAGAATTATTATAAACAGATAATGGAAGGTTTTCATTTGTAAAGTTTAAGTCCATTTACTGACAAAAGTAAATTTTGTAAATAATACTTATGTGTTGTTTGAGATTAGGATTTGTGACTTCTGATTCCTTTCTTTAAGTCAAAATAGGGTAAACTTCTGATAAAGTTCCCAACATTTTAACAATCATGTTTACCATCTACTGAAATCTATTACTAGCAGTGAAAAGAGGAAGAGGTCGTCCCAGAAGATACCCTCCTCCAGGCCAGTCTAATATTCCCACCCAAATCCCAGCTGTGATCATCCCAGGGGCTAATGGACCAACAATAATGATGGCCCCAGTACAGGTATATATTTCAGTATTGGAAAATACAGTACGTGTACATAAATTGGTGCATTCAAAATTTAGCGCAATCAAGGGGTATGGAGTTGTTGGCATAATCATGAATTAGCGCTACACATGTCCGTGCCATGTATTGTATTAGTAAACAATTTCTTAGCGGTATTCATGAATTAGCGCATCGTTGTCTGCGCCAAAGCTGCTAAAATATGAAGCCCGCTTTTTGAAGTACACATACAGTAAGTATGAGAGGATACAGAACTTGGTTAGAAATATATATATAAATTTAAATGCATCTTTTAACTAGTAATGAAAGTCAGTGCTTTATCTATTTTTATCCCATGTTTACCCCTTTATCCTGTGGATATGACTCATTGGATATTTTTTTCATAACCCGCAGTTAAGTGCAGTTGTGACGTCACAATGGTTTTTGCGTTAGAGTGATGAAGTAAAATAAAGTGGAGTATAAAACAGTATAAAAAGGTATAAAACATTGGTTGTGAAGTATTAAACATGGGATAAAAAAAATCTCCCATGATTTGTAGTTGGATATGACTTTTATCCAACTCGTTGTGTGTTTTTACCCCCTCGCCAAGGCTCGGGGATAAAAAAAAAACACAACTCAATGGATAAAAGTCATATCCAACTACAAATCATGGGAGATGCTATATGTATAATTGTTTCTGTATGTCCTTTTTTCTCTAGGGAATTTCCAATATGAATGCTTTGGCAGAACAGATAAAAAGCTTACCCACAATTGTTACTAAAGTAGTGTCACCTGTAGCCCCTAAGCCTACCACCAGTGGTGTAGTGACAGTCCAAATGGGGGCCAAAGGAACACAGAGTACCTCAGAAATAGCTACATCATCCTCCATCATACAAACCTCTATATCAGAACAGAAACCCTCAGTGACTGTGATGGACACCGGTCTGTCTGGAGACCCAAATCTGACCACCAGCTCCAGTGTGGTGTTGTCCAGTATTGTAACATCTCAGTCCACCTCTAATGTCGACACATTGTCCCTCAGCCAGTCTGTGTCAGACAACATACCATCAGAAACACTGCCCACCATCACCATGGAGTCTGATGATCTGGACAATAAAGATCAGCTTTCCCTGTCTATGTCAGTGACAGAAGGTAAACTTATCAAGTAATTAACAATACTGTAGATTTCAAAAAACATCAGACTACTCCATTATTTTAAAATAGTCACAAATGTAGATGTAAACCATACCAGTTTTATTCTATTGATTGTGCTTCAAATAATGTACATATTTGCATTATCTGATATTAGGGATGTGCGATTTTATCGGTATACCGGTATATCGTGATTTTTAATTGCGTGATACGTATCGTGATACGGAGACTAAAATACCGGTATTTAGGTACATAGTTATAAATTCCAGAAATTATTCATTTATTTTGTTCAATCTTTCAAATTACAATTACAGGAAGTGTAAAAAATGTTGAAAACAGTAAAAGAAAGGCATCCTAGCATCCAAAATTGCTTGATATTATGTCAATAAAAAATGAAATAAGTGAAGTTATGTTTTTCCAGCACATTTTTAGGAAAAATTATGAATATTCATTTAAAACCATTGTAAAAATTGTTTGTAAAAATATCATGATATTATTGTGATATTTTGGGAAAAAATTGTGATATATTGCGATACGAATTTTTTGGCGATACCCATTCCTACCTGATATGTAAAACTCTAAGCAGGATTTTATATAGAACTTTTGAGTTTATTTGTTGGAGTATGAGTTTGCTCCCTTGGCAGTCTGAAATGCAATAATCCTCACGAATTCCTAACATCAAGTAATTAATGTGAGTTTAATTTTAAATACAGATGAAACTTTGGATTTAGATGAAACAGTCGATTCCTCGGATCAGATAAATGATGAGAAGGAAGATGACATCAAGCAGGATTCAGAGGGTGAGTCATTTATAATGTCAGCATTTAAATCCAGCAACAGAAGTTTATTCTGAATGTTTAGATTATTATATTTAAATGGGGGGGGGGGGGGGGGGGTAATGAAATTTGCAGTAAAACTATGATACTCTGATATTTTGAATATCTACCAAAGTGAAGATTTAGAAATACAGGTTTATTTTGCATCATGGTAAAAAATTCTCTGAATATTAAATTTGTTGTGATGGTCTGATTTTAGTTTTCAATAAATTCTATAGAATTTATTGTATGTTAGACAGTCATTTTATTTTATTTTGATAAAGATTTGCCCAAAGCAGACATTTTAAAGCCTGTGGATGATCCAGATCAACAGACAATTATTCGAATTCCAGAAAATCTTATCCAGATGTTTCTACCCAAGAAGGATCCAGTCAAACTGGGTAAGCATAAATACGAAGGGTTCTCTCAAAGTTTTAACCACAGAACTTAGGGAATAGACTTCATTTTGACCATGGGGCTTATTTGTGACCCTTCTAGGTACACAGTTCTGCATCCTATCAAATGGGAATTTGAAATTGAAAAAGTGACAATATAGGGAGATATTGATGACTTGTATTTTGATATACTGTAAAAATAAAGACATTAAATTGTGTGCTTATCCTCTATCCACATCTTTATGAACTATTATAATCTAAAACTTCAGATTTCTGATAAAAGCACTTGAAAATTCCAATCTTCTGGTCTTATGTGAATTTTTGATCTTAATTTTTTTTTTTTGGGGGGGGGGGGGGGGAGAGTCACTTTTTAACACAGCACTTGGGACTGCGTATACTTTTACACACCCCATCCCCATGCAATAAAGACAGTATTTAACATGTTTATAGCAAAGTGCCAGGGACAAACAATTTCGATTCATTATAAATGTACAATGTAATTCATTATATCAGTGAAGTTCATAATAGGTTTTAAATCTACAAGGAGGGAAAATCACTTTGTTGTAAGCATGAATTCATTACAAACATGTACACTGTAACCCTGTCTTAATGTATTAAGCCCTGGAACTTCAAAATAGCTAGTGGGTAAAGTGCTAAGCCTTTGTAAGCATCACAGATTTAAGGAATCTTGAAACCCTTTTCATAAACTTTGAATGTATATGGCTATAAGAATTTCCTTTGATAAGAATGATTCTAAAAATAAACACAAGTAGATGTGATGATTTCAACAATTCTTATTGAAATAATACCTTGTAAACAGTACCAGTAATACATTTGAACTTCAATATCTCGAACACTGATATCTCGAATACCATGGATATGTCTAATTGATTTAGAAGTCCCAACCGCTTATTCTTTAAGTAGTTTACCCCTGATATTTCGAATCCTCGGATATCTCGAAGTTTTTCCTCGGTCCCATCAAGTTCAAGATAACGAGGTTTGACTGTAGTTCATTTGATCTAAACATTGAGTCTTGTGGCACTTAAAGTAGAATTAACTTGTGTAAGTTTTGAATTTCAGTCATATTATGTAGGTACAACAAATTAGGAAGACATCAAATAGCTCTTTTATTTTGAAAATCAGATGCAGATTAAGAGTTGTCTTTCTTTTCCCATTTCTTTGTATATTTTATTGTGACATAATTTTTTTTTTTTTTTTTTTTTTTTTTTTTTAAGAATTTGATATTGGAGACTGTGAATATTTCTGGCATGCAGTGTGTCATCTTTATATTATATTTGTCTAAGAAATGTTCAGAGTGAAGAAATGTACATGTTTATGTACATATGCTGATAGAACAGAACAGAACAGAACATGATATGAATGATGAATCCTCGGTTTTAGAATTAAAGCTAATGCATAGAAGGTTGATGCTGATCTGTCATTCAAAGAAAATAATCACTAGCTATTTTAACTTAAGTTTTTGAGTATATTCAATATGACTGAAATTTTCAGTCAACATAAGTGATCATAAGTATCATAAAATTGAAAGGCATCATAAGCACATGACTCTCTTTTATTTTATTATTTTGGTGGTGATGGGGGGGGGGGGGGGGGGGGGAGAGATGGGGGTAATAATTTCTCATTTTAGATTTATCTCATACTGGTATATTGGTGAATATGGCCAGTTGAAAACACAAAGGTTTATCCCAAGGCCTCATTACATTATTCTATATATATCCTTTGGTAGTAATGTCATATGATGCTTTGAAATAACTTAAAATGAAAATCATGTAAATGCATGGATCTAGTAAAAATTAGTGGCATAAAAATTACAGTAAACATAATTGATTTAGTTAGTATATTTTTTTCTGTAAGCCTTGCATTTCAACTTGTTTTAGTACATATTTTGTAGGTCTCAAATGTAATGCACACTGTATTTATATTAATAATTTGTTCACTTGAGATTTCTCTAAGCAACAAGATGTATTCTTCAAAGGAGAGCAATTATAATTGTACTTACTTATCCCCTACTCTGAAAACAATTCTGTACATAAATAAACAAGAGTTCATGAAAACATCCACATGGGGAGGCCTCTAAGGGGGCTCGGTCCACAGTGAGAGGCCCTTCAGGGGTCCTGTGAAAGTAAGCTGTTGTTCATTAAGATGAGAAAAGTCTGTGAATGAAATTTAAGAATATTTAGGTTAAGCATCCTTTGAAGAGGTAATCCCCATCAGCAGAGCAGTGAACTCAATGTACTGAACATGCATGGTTAGAAAATCACAATGAAAACTACTCACTTTACAGTGTAAAGTAAAACAGGCTTGTCTCTGGGGCTGGAACAATAAACACATTACTTATCTAAATACACAGACTAGTGATTTAGCTTGTGGTTTGTTTAATCTATTGCTCAATGATTTCAAAAAATCTTGTTGGACAAAAGTTTACATAAAAAGTATATGTTCATGTTTACAAGTAAATGTCAATGGCTTTTCATAGAAAACTTTTTTTGGAGGGGGATGGGGGGGGGTGATTAGACAGTATATAGATTTAATCTGAACCTATATAGAGTTTATTATAATATATGACATTTGCATGTGAGAGGTGTGAAATTGACTTTCAGCTGACTAATATAGATGAAAGGTTTCTCTTGATTTATGTACATGCCACTTTATCTCACTAGTGACACTTGTGTGAATTTTAACAATCTATCAAAAACAAGGTATTGCTGATAAAGACAAGAATGCCAGCAAATTACAAAATACCATGTAGGTGCAGTATTGGGCAGAGATAATGAAGTGGCTGATATATATAGGATTGTTCTGAAAAATGGAGAAAATTCTTGGTTTTTCCCATTTTTAACTTAGATTATATAACAGTAAATTCTTTAGAATGAAATGTCTATTATTCAGGGGAGGGACAATTGTAGTAGGAAAGTAGCCATCAGTCTGTCTTGTCATGGAGGTATCTTGTGGAGCAACATTTCTCTGATATTTCTGTATGGCTCATTTTTTCTGTTCATAAAATTGTCAAAAGATCTTTCAGCAAGAATTTTTTAACATTTCTAAAGGAAGGTGTGGAATGAATCAAAAAGTATTTCAGATAGACTTATTTCAAAATGTAAATAATATGCATGATAGTAAATTGGAAAATCCTCATCTTGCAGGTAATAATTACCTCCCCTGACCAAGTAGAGTTTATGTGACTTGCAATTAATCTGCTACATATATGCTGTGGTAATGACAGCTTTAAATGAAACTTTGTAGAAAGGTGCATTGCCTCCGACAATAAATAAATAAATGACAATTAACAGGGCTCAACAATAGATAAAATGTCCAGTAAATGTTACTTTTTTTGGAATTCTTTTTCTATTTGTCCAAATCTGAACAAATATATAGAAATTAGTACAGCTTATTTTTCAAGAATGGAGAAGTTAGAAATAGTATTGACTTATAAAGATTGTTTAATAATGACAATAATAACATTACTAATCTATAAAGTAGCACTATGTGTAACCTAGTCTTGATCACCCTTAGTTGTCCATTAACGTTATCTTGTGAAATGAGATTAAGTCCTTAAGATTGTAATGTTTCTTAGATCTTGTTGATATTTGTGATTTTAAAAATAAATGACAGTGTTAAGTGAATTCTGTGGGTTTTTTTTTTCATCTTCACAATATTCTGCAATGTTATGAAAAGTAACTTGTCCAATCAGACAAGTGTGTTTGGAGATTGACTTGTCCGATTTTAAATTGAACTGGACACAGACATAATCAGACAAATGTTGAGCTCTTATTAAGAAACAGTCTGTATGTGTGGCAAGTTCTTTATTATTATACTTTTGAATTTTTTTGTTAATGCCATCTGTGCAAGGTTTTTATGCCCCGCCATGAATATGGCCTGGGCATATAGTGATTGTCATGTCCGTCTTCCGTCTAGCTGTCCTTCCGTCACACTTTGCGTTTAGCTCTGTTCAAAGCACAGTTTCAAAGAAACTATCCAAGATATTTTTATCAAACTTCATATGCTGATAGATATTGATGAGAGTTATGCAACTGCATCAACATTTTTTGACCTTGACCTTTCATTTGACCTTGACCTCACTTTTCTTAAATTAGTGTTTAGCTCAGTTTTAAAGATACCATTCAAGGTAGTGTAATCAAACTTTATATGTTGATACATACTGATGTAAGCTATTCAACTGCATCAACATTTTTTGACCTTGACCTTTCATTTGACCTTGACCTCACTTTACTTAAATTAGTATTTAGCTCAGATTTAAAGATACCATTCAAGGTAGTGTAATCAAACTTCATATGTTGATACATACTGATATAAGCTATTCAACTGTATCAACATTCTTTGACCTTGACCATTCCTTTGACCTTGACCTCACTTTTCTTGAATTAGTGTTTAGCTCAGTTTTAATGAAATCATTCAAGATATTTTTATCAAACTTCATATGCTGATACATACTGATGAGAGCTTTTCAACTGCATCAATATTTTTTGACCTTGACCTTTTCTTTGACCTTGACCTCACTTTTCTTAAATTAGTGTTTAGCTCAGTTTCAAAGATACTATTCAATACAGTGTTATCAAACTTCATATTTTAATACATACTGATGTAAGCTATTCAACTGCATCAACTTTTTTGACCTTGACCTTTCCTTTGATCTTAACTTCATTTATTTTAAATTAATGTTTAGCTCAGTTTTAAATAAACCATTCAAAATATTTTTATCAAACTTAAATATGCTGATACTTATTTGTGAGAAGTATCAACTGCATCAAAAACATTTGACCTTGAACTTTCCTGTGACTTTGACCTCACTTTTCTTAGATTTGCATTTTGCTTAATTTTAAAGAAACCATTTAAAGATATTTATGTAAGTTTATGCACTTATACATAATTTGGTGCGAATTTATCATCTATATATCCAACTTTTTAGATTTCAATTTTAAAGGAACTTTTCAAGATATTCTCATCAAATTTCATACACTAATACA